ATTGTAGGCGAACGTGACGTAGGGCAGCACCTCGTCCCACGTCTTGTGCTCTACGTCGACGTACATAGAGATCATATCGGCGATTGTCTTGTTGAGTCGCTCGGTCAGTCCGTTGGTCTGCGGGTGGTATGCTGTGGTTCGACGATGGCCGGTGCCACTGAGACGAAGGATCTCTTGCGTCAGCTGGGCCATGAACGAAGATCCGCGATCTGTAATCAGAACCTCGGGAGCGCCGTGCCGGAGGACGATGGACTCGATGAAAAACTTGGCGACTTCCACAGCAGTCCCTGAAGGAAGAGCTTTCGTTTCGGCGTACCGCGTGAGATAATCTGTGGCGACGATGATCCAGCGGTTCCCCGACGTCGAAGGCGGAAAAGGACCAAGTAGATCCATTCCGATCTGCTGGAAGGGTGTAGTTGGAGGAGAAATGGGCTGCAGAAGTCCGGCCGGCCTCGTCGGCGGTTTCTTGCGTCGCTGGCACTCGTGGCATGATCGTGTGTATAGGTGGACGGTCTTGGGGAGCTTCGGCCAGTAATACTTTTCACGAATACGGGCCAGTGTCCGGCTGTAACCAAGGTGTCCGGATGTCGGGTCGTCGTGGCAGGCTTGGAAGATCTCCTCTCGAAGGTCACTCGGGATTACCAGCAACCAAGGTGTGTTGTTGTTGCCGAAGTTCTCTTTGTAGAGTACACCTTGTCGGATGGCGAAGGTCGGCAGTACTCGTGAGAAGACACGTGGCACGGTACTCCTGCCCCCCTCCAGGTGCTCGATTAATGCGCGCAGCTCAGGATCGTCCCGTTGACGTCGTGCCATATCGTCGGTGTTCACTGCTCCTAGAAAGCACTCGTCGTCATTGTCGTCGCTGCAGCCGGAAGGGGTTTCGACGGGGGCTCTGGACAGGCAGTCGGCGTCGCTGTGCTTGCGGCCTGACTTATAAACCACTGTCATGTTGAACTCTTGTAGTCGAAGACTCCACCGAGCGAGGCGTCCTGACGGGTCCTTCAGCTTCGCAAGCCAGCAGAGCGAGTGGTGGTCCGTGACTACACGGAACGGGCTGCCGTACAAGCACGGCAATGAGTAATGCCGCGCGCAAGGCTGAGAAAGCAACGCTCGGTCACGGTCCTCCAGAAAGTTCCCGTTTATTCATGTACCGCACGTAACTTCTATCATTTATCCCTGCTTTTGTTTTCTAGAAAGTGCGTGTTCATTCTCGCCCCGATCACGCGACGCTCGAACCGCTTTCGCCGAATCTTCGAGATAGCGGCGCACTCTAGATAAGAGGCCGCCCGCGACCTTGTCGAGTCAGTCTCGCCCCAGCGCTCAATTCTGCTGACACGCCGACTTCGACGCCCGCGACGCTCTGCTTTCTTCTGTTTCCTTCTTTATTTTTTGGCACAAGTTCGCCACATTAAACGTTTATTTCTTTCTGTTTATTTCCTGTTCTTTGTTTGGTCACCACTCGTGACATTTTCTCGAAGATTCGGCGAAAGCGGTTCGAGCGTCGCGTGATCGGGGCGAGAATGAACACGCACTTTCTAGAAAACAAAAGCAGGGATAAATGATAGAAGTTACGTGCGGTACATGAATAAACGGGAACTTTCTGGAGGACCGTGACCGAGCGTTGCTTTCTCAGCCTTGCGCGCGGCAGTATTACAGGGCGTGACAGATAATGCAATGAGCAGCTTTGTCAAGCAATCATGTGTCACGGTTGTCCCGGTGTCATGTCGTTCGTGTCGTTTCTGTCGTTCCTGTAGCTCGGAACGCAGATGCGTGAACCGGCCTTTACGAGCCTACTCTGACGGTACGCTTGAACGTCACGGAAAATCGGTCTTCTCGCCTTTTCGAGGTGTCACCACGGGTAGAAATACTATCGGGGTATTAAGTGATTTGTTCGGCACACAAGCGTCACTACAGGTTATGACTCTGACAACATTGCCTGAATCCTATTTTAATTGCAAAATAAAATATTGAAGGTGTCTTCCCGGACACAATGTCCGCCCATATCAAAATCGAACTTGGCGGTTTTTTAAATACAATATTTAGCATTATTTCGCACATTAAATGGGTCATGAAACGCTTTTCCAACTTTTTCCCGTTTAGCTTTCCTCCTCAACTCATAAATCGCGCATTCCACCAAATAGTTAAAGAAGACGAAAAGGGGGAGTCCCCTCTTGCTCGCACTCTCGTTTGTGTAATCCCCGGACACATCCATTCTCCCCCTAGAAGATTAGCCCGTCGCTCGAAATTCAGACAAAAGTTGCTTTCCCCACCCCGTTCATTCCGAAGCTGACAGTGCTGTTGAAGCTACGTGCTCGTTGGGCCAGCCACACTTGCCACGTGAGCGTGGCAAATGTGGCTGCAGAGAACGAAGTCAGGTGATGAAAGGGAGGCGGCTGATTGGTCTGGCAAGCGCGCAGCTTCCACCACAATGTCAGCTTAGGGGTGAAGGGAATAAGTGAGGTCCGGTTGCGTGTGACGTCAGTTTGCACCCGACGACGCGCTTTTGGGACCGCGGATGTATCACAGCGAAAAGGCAGAGAGGTTGCGAAAAGGAGGAGGTACGAAATAGTCCGCTCTGTTTTCAAATTTTCGCACTGAAAGTCAGACTTTTGACTTTCTACCTTTTTTCTTTTGGTCCACTGAACGATGTGCTATTAGTAAAATCCTAATCTAAAATGATTTATCCCAACCCAAAAATCGTTTCTGGGCCCTTTAAGTTCCCGGATCTCTCTC